GTCCACCTTTTTGGGGGGGGGGTTAGAGAGTCCACCTTTTTGGGCGGGGTCATTTGCCAAATACCCCCATAATTTTGAGATATATGTCAAACTGTCCCTGAAAGATCTGGGCACAGTGGAATGACCTTTTGGGCTGGCAGCTTTGTGTTATGCCCCTGTCAGGTGGGTTTGCAAATTCGCAATCTCAGCCTCCCTGTTTCTGCCTTGGCCTTTTGCAATTGCACCTACGAAAAGTTGACAACTACAGGGGCATTTTGCAAAGTTGGACGCCGTCTGGCAGGGGTACGTTGCAAAAATGGGGTCCAACCGATGTCTGGGGTGTTTTGCAAAATGTTTTTGTCATCATCCTTCGCCGCAGTGTAGCTGCGGCAGGTCCACTTCTGTTGGTAATTCTTGTGTTCGTTGCCGTGTGCCTCCTTTTATTTTATATTTTCTTTTGTCTCGCAGACGTAGATGCAATGTCGCTTGCGTTTTCATGTCTATGCTGCTCACCTTGACCAGGGAGGGAGGGAATTTGTTGGGTGATTCTGGATGTGCGGGACAAGAAAACAACATGACAAAGAATATTTGTGGATGGGGTTGGAATTCTTGCATGCAAGAGACAAGTAGTGTGACACACTTTGTTGGACAGATCACCTTCTTCTCTCCACACACACACACACACAGACACACACACACACACACGTGTGTGTGTGTGTGTGTGTGTGTGTGTGTGTGTGTGAGTGCGTGTGTGCGCGTGCGTGTGTGTGTGTGTGTGTCACATACCGTAAAGGTGCAGACCAGAACAAGAACCAACTTCTCTCACATAGAAAAGGATAGCACAGCGGAAGACTTAAATACCAATGATCCGAACAATCAGTGTTGTAATGCAGACCAAACATACATCATCATCATTCCATGGTGTGAAGGGGCCTGGCCCTCACACAGGAAGAATGCGCCAGTCCCCAACCATACACAGACGAAGAAGAGGGGGGTTAGACGAAGAAGAGGGGAAGATGGGAGTGTCGTCAACACCAAGTCTTCGGTACAGGTCCCAAATAATCCCTCCTCAAATGTCTGAATCCCAATGCCGAGTCTGGGTCCAATATTGTCAAGTCCCAAAGTCACCAATCTCTCTCTCTCGTAGTCTGCAGATACTGAGAAGTCAGGTAGCGAGAGGGTGAGGAAGAGATGGACTTACAAGAGGAAGAAGAAGAACTCTCTAAGCTGGAGCTATGGCGCCACAGGTAAGTCTCCCTGGCCTCCGCCAACCACCTCTCTCTCTCTCCCCAACGCTACTCTAGCTCCTACTAGCGCCCAGCGCTGAAGACTACTGCTAACGCTACTACTACTCCTGCAGCGCTCCTCCAGAGTGCTGCTGCCGAATCCTGAAGACTACCTCCTGCCTCCTGAACTGCACGTGAAGTGCCTGGGAAGTCCCTATCAACTACCTGCAGCCTGCAGGGCAGGCTAGTCTTATCTAGTGCTGGCCCGTCCAGGAGGCTACTCTTGCCAATGCCAAAACGTGCCAGGCCCTGGGCTTGAAGTTCAAACAAAGGTTGTCTTGAAAACAGGCCCAAAATGGCCTGTGCTAAAACCCTGGTCTGGTGCCTAAGTTTCAGGGCGGGTCGATCTTATGAGGGCCTGAAAATGGCCCTCCGTTTCAGGCTGAAAAGACTCAGGGCCTGGAGGGCCCTGTTTTAGGCTGAACCGACACAGGGCCTGTAGGCACTCCTTTTCAGGCTTTCAGGCTGAAACGACACAGGGCCTGTAGGCCCTCGTTTTCAGGCTGAAAGGCTGAAAGGCTGAAACGACACAGGGCCTGTAGGGCCTTGTTTTCAGGCTTTTAGGCTGAAAACGACACAGGGCCTGGAAGGTCCTGATTTTCTGTCTGGTCTGGCCTTGCAGGCCCGTGTGGCTGCGCGGTAATGCCACAGTGTGCGTGTGTGTTGTCATATCCGCTATACACTCAACAAAAGCATGACTGTACCAGACTGTTTTGTCGGACCTTCACCGACTCATCAGGAGGTTGCGTGTGTGTGTGTGTGTGTGTGTGTGTGTGTGTGTGTGAGACACATGGGTGCACGCCCATTCTCCCCGACTCAAAATCGTAAACACAAAGGACTGGCAATAAAAGAGAGAGAGAGAGAGAGAGAGAGAGAGAGAGAGAGAGAGA